ACCCCCCTTTAGTTTAAAACCATTCCCCCTTGTCCTGTCGCATCAGGCCCTGCTAAAAAGTTTGTCACCATCTTTTTTACAAGTCCCCTTTAAGTACTGATAGGCTGCAACAAGGTCTCCCCGAAGCCTTCTCTTCTCTAGGCTGAACAACCCCAACTCCCTCAGCCTTTCCTCATAGGAGAGGTGTTCCAGCCCCCTGATCATTTTCGTGGCCCTCTTCTGGACCTGCTCCAACAGGTCCGTGTCTTTCTTATGCTGAGGGCTCCAGAGCTGGACGCAGTGCTCCAGGTGGGGTCTCACCAGAGCAGAGTAGAGGGGCAGAATCCCCTCCCTCGACCTGCTGGCCACGCTGCTTTGGATGCAGCCCAGGATATGATTGGCCTTCTGGTTAGTAACAAATTCAAGGAACAAAGTTGGGACAGTGATTGCAAGCAGCTGAGCTAGTTTGCTTTAGAGGGTTGGTTTACTGAGCAGCAGAGCTGTGGTAGCTGCTCATATATGGGTTTCTTGCCTGCCCCAAATAAGAAACCTCACCTTTGGTAGGTTAAACTGACGGTTTACACCATCAATAGATTGGGGCAGGAGTTTGCATTCGTTCACGTAGCTCAGGTGATGAATTGCTAATTAGTCTGCAACTGCAGTTCATCCCAGACCGTGCCATATCTGTACTCAACACAGTTAACAGGGCTCTGACCGCTTTCCTCCCCATCTCCTGTGCCCACCACAGGTTTGTGAGGACAGCAATCCCATTCACACAGGAACCCCAGCGGGACAAGCCAGCCAATGTTCAGCCGTATTACCTCTACGGATCCAAGGTCAGTAAATGAGCCACAACAGCCAGAAGGGGTGGATGTTGGAAGCATTTATTTAGGAAGAAAGAAATGCAAGAACTAGTTCATTAACAGAATGGCGGGTGCAAATGTGCAGGGCCACGTTGCCATGTGAAACCAAAAAGCCGTGCAAGAAGCAGATTCAGTGTGCTTTTGCTATTGCTTTCCCATATTCTTCTCCATAACATGCCTATGTTAGGGGATGCTGACACTGCTCTGTGCTTGGTGTTGGCACCGAGACCAAGTCACATCCATCTAAATGCGCAGAGAGGAGAGCAAGTTGGAGCTCCAAAGCAGTGCTCCTCCCCGAGGAAGGTACCACTTCAGGAATCCCATTTGTAGTTCAAAATGGGAATTACTAAAATACTTGTGTGTGCAAATACAGACTACATAATACTGACAAAAAGCTTTTTTGTCAGGCTACGATTACTGTTTACACAGGCATTACAAGGGCTTGGGGTGTGATGCTAGTGGAGGATCGCTCAAGTGTGAATCTGCTTGAGTGGAGTTTATTTCTTGTGCACGTTGATTAATGACTCTGAAGTGAACCTACAGCACTGATGCAGGTTAGCTAATGACACTACAGTCAGCCAAGCCTGGCTGTTGCCAGAGAGCTGACTTCGTTTCTTTTTAAAAAACCCTCAGCAAATGAGAATATTTTTGTCACTTGACAAAAATCTTTCTCCCTGCAACCAATGTCCCTGCCTCATGTTCTACCCTGGGACAAACAGCCCCCATGGACACACAGACAGTCCTGTTGGCAAGAGCTGGGAAACAGCAGCACGAACCAAACCTCTAAGCAGGGTCCCCTTCTATTTTGATCATTGAAGGCCGTGCTGTGGCAAGATGGCCCTTTTATCATCGCTGTTTTTATAGGAAAAAAAGCAGTGGGGGGAGCTGTACGGACTCTCCCTCATGAAACTGGAGCTCCTCATTAGCACAGTGGTCATGGGGACTTCCAGAAGCTCATCTCTCAGTCCGTCGTTCAGTGGACCCTCCGGCGAGCTGCTGCCTTCGCCCACTTCTTCGGGGCTGGCATCGGGATGCTTCAGCCTCACAGCCCGGTGGCACCGTGCAGACCAGAACTGCAGGCAGCCATAGGCCAGGAGAGCAATGAAGCAGAGGAGCAGCAGGCTGCTCACCATCCACATGGAGGTGGTAGGTTCGTGTTTAGAGCCGCCGAAAACCAGGGGTGTTTTGTCCAGAGTGTGGAACGTGGTGCAGTGGTTGCTGGAGGGGTAAGAGTTCTTGCACGTGATGCAGAGGACATAGATGGTGGATGGCGTGAGTTGGTGGAGGATGAGGGAGCTGAGGGGGTGAGGAACTCGCTCCTCACGGTGGAAGTTTTGGCGTAAATAGCCGGCAAAGATGCTGTTCCAGTTGGGGCGGTACATGACATGGTAGTAGTTCTCTGGACAGGGGTTGTTCATGGCCCAGGAGACGGTGGCACTGGTGTAAGTGATGTTGTGCACTTCTATGTTCATCGTGCCCCTGTAACCAGATGCAGGGAGAGGCTGAGTTTCCCGATTCGTGTACAGGCTCAAAGGCCACTGACATCAGTGAAGTCTTTCCACTGGCTTTACTGGCCCTTAGATTGGACTCAGGACTATGCCTGGCTAGCTTAGATTAGATGCTAGGTCTTAGATGACTAAAATTACAGAAGATGAATCCTGCTAGTGACCAGACTACTGTATCACCCTGCTTCATGACCAAAAAAACCAACTGGGACATAGGCTGCGCTTTATGCTCTAGTTAGATTTTTAAAAAATCTCATCTTTTTGACTGGTTTTCTATATAGGAAGCTTTTTTAGCTTTTTTGTTTCCCATGGAATAGAAAGGATACTGCAAGTGTGATTAGCATAAACTGATCATTAAGCTAGCTCCAGCTTGCCTTGCAGAGCTTCCAGTAGATATTTTGATTTTACACAGCTTTTCAAATGCTATTTAAAAAGCTGTATAATGATTAATTTACTAGTTTAAGTTGTTGCTGCATTTTCTGTACCTAACTTGTTGCTTAATAGAGTATAAACTCCTCCTGTTCCTACAGCATCTCACACTGTAATATCAGGATCTTAAATGTGAAATCCGAAGGCTGGTGAAATATAAAATCAATGCCTTTAGGAAAGTACAAATATATGAATAATAAGTATAAAGCTCTCCCCCAGATAAAAGACACTGACCGCTAACAAACTACTGTTTAACGATAGCCACAAATCACTTCAGTACATCACTCCTTAGATCCCCAAATTGCTCTCTGAGCCTCGCTGCAGGGTTATCTCTCCCAACCAGCCGAGTGCTCTGAGCAGAAGCTGCGTGCGATAGACCTGGTTTCTTTTTTTCTTTCTTCCTTTCTCTTTTAATATAACTAACTTTCCTTTAATTCACTCAAGCAGCAGCTCATCTTAACGACTGTTTTAACCATTCTTACATGAAGAGCAGAACAGCACACGCGCCCATCGCTGAGCCCTCCCAGAGCCATGGGCAGCCGCTTACCTCCCTGGGCAGGTCCGCGGCAGCCCGTCGGTGCTGGTTAGCAGCGTGGCCAA